TATATATATATATATATAATGATTGTGTGGACAATATTATAAAATTTGTATAAAAATATTCATATCAATGACATAATATCAACCATTATAACAAAATAAAAAAATGTATACTATTATACATAATTTCTTTTAATAAGATTGATAATTGATTTTATATTTATAGAATTTTTTTTACAAAAAAGTTATACTTATAATATTAAAATTTGAATCAACATCTTTAATATAGGTTATTCTTTAATACCTTTAATATAGATATAGAGTAGTTGATACACCATAAAAAGCATTGGCTAGTTCTACACCAGACAAAGGTGCTTTTTAATGACATTCAACAAACTTTCCAAGGATCAAAGGCTAATCGGATATTCAAACGTAGCTTCATGTTTGGCAATCCTCATCGGAACGCTTTATTAGCTCATGCAACGAGACTTTTGTAATTTGTTTTCTTCTCTTTTCTTTCCTATTCATAAAAATAAAATAATATTATATTTATAATAAAATTTGTATAATATCACTTTTGTGTTTATCTCTTTATAATAAATGTTGGGGAAAAGTAGACATAAAAATAATATTGTAAATTGTGCAAGTTGTTTTTATAATTTTTATTTTACATATAACATTGCTTAAAAAAAATAGAATTGTTTCTCTTTACATATCATAAAAAATTGATATGTTTTTTTTTCCAATCCGCGTCAAGCTATTTTACCTAGAGATGGCAAAGTATACATAGACACTACATATATCCACAAAAATATCTATAAGTGGGACGAGTATTTACTTACAATTTTAGGATAGGATATTATTACCTACAAAATTGTGCGGATATGAATTCGGTTTTGAATATTATAGTACTCACCTCGCCCCTATTATATATTAGTATAATTAAATAAATAATATATATTACTTAAATACATACACATTTAGATGAAAACTAATTATATTGTTTACTTTTAAGACTAATAGTACAATTCTCTAATATTATACAGAAATCCTATATTTAATCTCATTCTCTTCATGAATTATGACTCTATAGCGTCGTTCTTTACCTTTGTGTGATTATATGAGTTTGAGTTTCACAATTTGCATAAATCCATCAATTGGGAGATAAACATTTGCAAAAATATGAAAATAATTTTTATGATGAGATGAAATATCTTACATACTTTTTTTCTAATAAAATTTTTATTATGTATAATTAATTATAAGTTAATCAATTTCAATATTGCGTTTTTGGCAAATGTTAGATAATATTGTCGGCATATAACATTCAACTATAATAAGAGTTTTTATTAAAGATTGAAATATTAATTTTAACAATTACTAAGTTAAATGATTGTCCTTGTAATATTTATTTATGCCTCGGGTTTGAACAAACTAATGTTATATTTGTTTGTTTTTAATATTATATATGTTTATTTTTAAGATTATGTTTCGATTATTTAAAAACATATTGTTTTAATTATTTTTTTTTATTAATTTATTATAATTAACCTTGTATAAGTAAAGTATTGATCGCAAGTGTGACTACAGGGACCTAGGTACCCAATGGGTACGAAATGAAGATCAAAATTGTTACATGAAACTGAATATAAGTATTATTTTTAAATACAAATATTATAGGATCATATTCAAACTCTACCCATTCTTATCCCTGGTCTTACCTACATAGAATCGCACAACAAATCAAAAGTTATAATGTCTTGAATCAATGGAGTGTGATTTTGGATCTAAGTTACATGATTCCAATTATTCAAATGATAATTTTGACCAAATACTATTTCATTGTTTGATTCGAATCATTTGACTTGTATCATTTAACATGATTTAGTTACATGATTTCAATTATTCAAATATACTCTTTCATTGTTTGATATGAATCATTTGACTTGATTTAAATT